GGAGACCATACTCAGTCTTTGAGTAGCAGAACGAGTCCTGGGAGCTCGACAGGTCCTCTCTGAAGGCAGGTCGGCATCTGAATGCAGAAAGTGAGGCAGGAGGGCTCACCGTGAGCCCCGTCGTTGCCCAGGAGGAGCGGAGCGCATGACCTATAGCTGGTATCTTTGGCAAGAGACCAAGTCCTCTTTAGGAAGTCGCTGTCGGACCGCACGGAGGCTGGGTGAGGAAGGCTGCTCCATGGGGTGGGTGGGGAGGGCAATGTCCTGGGTCAGAACCCGGGGCAAACACGAGGCTAAGATTTGCAGATCTCAGTCCCCTTTGGTGCCGGGAAGAAGTGGGGCTGACTTGGGTTGGAAAGCCAGCCCTTCCCCAGCCTCGACACTGGGCTCCTTCTGTGTGGTTGTGGGGACACACTCCAGCCAGGGCCCTGGGCTTTGCCCCCCGCTCCCTGTGGGGCTTTGGGCAGACACCCTAGCTTTCCTAGCGTGTAAGTGTGCCTGTACCCGGGGCTGCAGTGGGGGTTGGATGGGTGAGCAGGTGCCGTTTCTCAGCAGTAACTTGTGAGCTTCTGTCCTGTGACTTGCGGAAGTAGTGGGCATGTGGCAGGATGGCACCTTTGGGCAAGCTCACGGGTGCTGCGCTTTCCAGATCCCACCCTTCTCCCCTTGGCATAGGGACTGGTGACATGGCTGCAGCTCTCTCATCTGGGTTCCTGGGGGACAACGACGAGAACATGTTACAACCACAGAGCGTGCAGTGTGAGCAACGAACAGATCTGTCCGGGAGGGCCACTGTGACCTGCGGCGGTTTGTTCCTGCGGTATACTCCTAGCCGTCCTGAATAAGAACGTCGTCACCGTGTCACACTTGGTTGTGAGGATCATGCCGAATATGTAAAACGCGTCAGGTACATGGCAGGCGCCTGTTTGACTTGGCTCCCTTCCCAGCCAGCATTCGCTACTGATGCTTCGCAACCAGTGTTGCTTCATCTCGGCCAGGTGTTGCAGGACGTGACCCCTCGCCTCCTGTCTTGTGCCTCCATGGGAAGGCAGAGCTGCTGGCTGGGGCTAAGGTGCCCACCTCAGTTGTGTCCATCAGCATGTGATGACAGCTCCCACTCCCCGATGACGGTGCCGCAGCCAGCCTGGGCTGTGCCTTGGAGAACTCGAGCTGAAGTGGCGCCCACTCGAGTGTGCTTAGTGATGCCGGCGCTGGCTGCACCATGCGCAGAGCGCACTGCGGCACAGACCCCCGGCCCCTTCCCGGCTCTGGCTGTGGGCCGGCAGAGCCTGAGAGAGAGAGAGATTCGGGGATGTGCCTGTAAGAGGGTGACTGTGACCTAAGAGGAGTGGCTGGGAACCATGCTGTCCCCCACGTGTGCTGTGTGAGAGGCTGGGAAGGGGATGCGATCTGGCCTTGTCAGGGTGACCTGCCGTCCCTCCCTTGGTGGGGAGCTGGTTGAGACAGGGACAGGTGGGGATCACCGGAAGAGAAGACCTGTTTCTTACCGAGCAGTGAGTGAAGCAGATGTCTTCCCTGGCCTCAGATCCTCCTCCATGCTTGTGTGGGAGACACGGGGCAAGGGCGAGGCTGAGGTGGCCCTGCGCCTTAGTGTGATTCCTGTGTCTTCACCTTCCACAGTAAAAGGATGAAAAAAACAAAAGAAATATTCATGCACAGTGAGAAACATGAACAGCTCTAGCCGCCACATTTTAAATAAAAAAGCAGGGTGCACACCCTTTTGAACCTGGGGCCTCATGCGCTTGAGTTTCCCCTCACCCCTACCCCAGCCCTGCACAGTTTTTTGAACAAATATAGAAAAGATTTTTTGTTGTTTGGCTTTTTGTGCAGAAAGGCCATCAAAAGGCAGAAGGATCTAGGGAGAAGACCCATTGTCGGGTGCTTCGCTTGAGTCTAGAATGCTCTGTGTCTCTGGCTCACTTAGTGGTGGCATGGTTTCACATAACACCGGGATTTGTCTGCTTCTGGCACGTGCTAAGCTCGTGTTGCATTTGGAAACGGCAGGGGTGGACCCCCGTGCTCTGTGGGCCTCCTGCGCTGGACCTGGGCTCACGAGGGCAGAATGTGACAGGAAGGGGTGTGCTGTGTGTCTCGGGGCTTTGTCCTGGGCGGGGGAGGGGTGGAAGGGCCATTCTGTCCCATGGAAGGGGGCTGCGCCGGTTCCCCTCCGGGTGTTGGAGTCGCATCAGTGGGCACTGTGCACGCATAGTTGCACTTTCCTGGGCCCCTGTACAGTCGGGGAGACAGCACAAAACTCTGTGGGGCTGGGCTGGGCCTTCCAACCTCACCTGTGCCTTGGGTCTGGTCGCCTCACTCAGATCCGCCAAGCCAGTGAGTAAATGAATGGCCGCTGTCCCTGGAAGACTGGCCCAGAGGCAGCTGGCCGGAGGAGGTAGGACATGTAGGGGACAGCCAAGCCAGGTGCCTTGCTGCTCTCGGAAGGGATCAACCTCAGGCTCGGGGGCTGGTGGCAGTGGGGACCTGGCTTCTGAGGGTTTAGCGGGACACCAGTCAGCTCTGGGGCCCTGGGCTGCCCACCCAGTGTTAGCCTGGAGTGGTCCCTGCTTTGTGTCTCTCAGGGCGGCCCGGCTGCTGTTTGGGATTTGCCCTGCGGTTTTGCAGTTTGGATCCTTGCTTTGTTCTGCCCCTCACAGGGAGTCTCCCTGGGGCACTTGCCAGGCAGCCCTAGAAGATGGTGTGGAGAGGACCCAGGCGTAGCCACGCAGCCCCGGGGCCAGCTGCCTCGAGAGCCGGGACCGGGACCCACACGGGGGACAGTGAGGAGGGGAGTGTACCGTATGACGACACTGCCCAGGCCAGGAAGCCCAGCCCCTCCCCGTGGCTTGCCGTGTGCTGCCCACCATGTTGGTGGGGCCAGCAGGGCTCTCTGTCAGCAGCCAGCCCTGTGGGTAACCAGAGGAGCCGTTCGGGGAAAGGGCTTGGGCCTGGGAGTTTTAGCCCCAAATCCTTCCTGGCGCTTGGCTGTCAGAGCCCCCAGTGTTCTCTGCAGCTCAGAGTAGAGGTAATAGATGATCATAAAATGGCCTGGCGGTGCTGGTGTGGGGTTGGGTGGGGGTGGAGCCTCTGGGTGAAGGGCCACTTTGAGGAAGGCATCCAGTGACAGAGAGGGTGGAAGCTGGGGTTTAGCAATCAGCAAGGTTCGAGGGAACTTGTCGCAGGGTCCAGAATGCATGTTGGGCAATTCCCGCCCATCGGGGGCCAAGCCGTGGGCATGGCCTCCATCTCATCAGGTCAGCGCAGCCTCTCGGTCTGCATGACGCCACATCCCAGGGCCGGCTTGCAGGGCATTCTTGGGAAATAATTGCCAACAAGTGCGGGAACCATGGAGACCGGAGTGGAACAAGAATTGCACTCTGCAGAAGGGGAAACTGAGGTATAGAGGAGAGGAGAGGTGGTCCAGGCAGTGGTAGAATGGGAGCCCCTGTGCATGGTTTGGACCCATGTCCTTGCCATGGGCCGGGCTTTGCAGTTCCCCCAGCTCTGTCCCTGGCCCGGAGTATAGGAGGACCTTGAAGCCCAGGAGTGTGGACCTTGCCCAGGCAGCTCTCTCTGATCATTAATTTGTAGTTTCTCTGGTTCTTCACCAGCGGAGGAGAGGGCGAAGTGCAGTTGGATGCTAGTTTATGATTTCACTGAAGCATGAGATTGCTTCCTTCCTCTACCAGATTAAACTTAAATAGAAAATAGACTTGGAGTGGGGCATGGGAGGAGTCCTGCTTTGAGAATTAAAGATGAGAAAGACCCTCCTCCATCCCATTACTAACAGGAGGAGGGCAGCACAGATGTTTTGGGCTCAGGACACTGAATGCAACTTGCTTTTGGCTGTGCTTCTTGAGCACATGATTTCCCTGGGTGTTGGTGGCACCTTCTTTTCGCAGTACTGAGCTGGGCTTGGCAGGGCTTTGGAAATCCTCCAAGTTCAAATTCAGTTGCATTTGAACGAGAGCCAAAGCACTTGAGTTCCCCAGATCGGAGCAGGTGGTAAACCTGTGTGTCTGTGTCATTGTTCAGACCGGGTGCTGAGTGCTAGGTCACTGGGGCTGGCAGAGAAGGAGGCAGGAGCGCTGCCTGCTGTGACCCAGGGCCCGCAGCTGCCTGGAGAGCTGGTGGCCCCGAGTGTCCAGTCTTTGCTGTAGCCAGACTGTCTTGCTTCAGTGCTGACCGTGCCCCAGTGTATGCTGGGTGTCTGTCTCCACTGAGGGTGGACCACTGTCAGTGGTTGCAGAGGGCGACAAAGACCCGAGGGTTTAGCAATTGCAGCACCACTTGAGGAAACATGTTGCAGGGTACAGAACTCATATTGGGCAATTCTCATCTGTCAGGGCCAAGCCTGTCTACGCTGAACATCTCTCAAGGACAGGGGCTCTCGGGCTGCTACAGCTTGGATCCCAGCTGGGGACGGGTCCCCTGGGAGCAGGGGCAGGGAGGAAGCTCTGCTGCTGTTCACAGGCCCTTGAGAATGTGTTCACAAGTCCCCACAGCCACCTGCAGGAATCAGTCTCCTTGGCCCAGGGGAGGGCAGAGGCCCGGCTTCAGGGCTGAGGTCCCCCGGCCCCAGTTCTTTGGCAGCAGCTCTGCCTGGGCCCTGCTGTGCAGCTGGCTCCTAACAGATGCTTCCCCAGAGCAGTGTCCTGAGGTGCAGAGTGCAGCTGAGGGTGCTCGTTCCTGCGCTCAGTTCAGGTCAGGGTGCCTTCGCATGCACTGCTCACTACAGGAGGCGGCAGCAGCTCATCTCCAGGCGGAAGGTAGAGTCCCAGCACTGGCCAGGCAGAACCAGATTGGTTTCTACAGGGCAGGGTGAGCCCCACCCACCCCCTGCATGTCTTTGGAGATGTGGCAGAGGATGTGGGGCAGGCTTGTGGGAGCAAGCAGAAAAGTGGGGAGAAGACAGGGCAGCTGGGGCTGAGGGCTGAAGGTCGCGGGAGCAGGGGCCCCTCTCACATGTGTGTGTCCTGTAGGTCGTGCACCATGTCGGTCAGCGTCCATGAGACCCGCAAGTCGCGGAGCAGCACGGGCTCCATGAACATCACCCTCTTCCACAAGGCCTCGCACCCCGACTCTGTGCTGGCCCAGCTCAACACACTGCGCAAGCAGCGCATGTTCACCGACGTCACGCTCTGGGCTGGGGACCGCGCCTTCCCCTGCCACCGCGCTGTGCTGGCTGCCTCCAGTCGCTACTTCGAGGCCATGTTCAGCCATGGCCTGCGGGAGAGCCGGGATGACACCGTCAACTTCCAGGACAACCTGCACCCCGAGGTGCTGGAGCTGCTGCTGGACTTCGCCTACTCCTCCCGCATTGCCATCAACGAGGAGAACGCCGAGTCGCTGCTGGAGGCAAGTGACATGCTGCAGTTCCATGACGTGCGGGACGCAGCCGCCGAGTTCCTGGAGAAGAACCTGGGCCCCTCCAACTGCCTGGGCATGATGCTGCTGTCAGATGCGCACCAGTGCCGCCGGCTGTATGAGTTCTCCTGGCGCATGTGCCTGGAGCACTTCGAGACGGTGCGGCAGAGTGAGGACTTCAACAGTCTGTCCAAGGACACGCTGCTGGACCTCATCTCCAGCGACGAGCTTGAGACCGAGGACGAGCGGGCCGTCTTCGAGGCCGTCCTGCAGTGGGTAAAGCATGACCTCGAGCAGCGCAGGGCCCACCTGCCCATGCTCCTGCGCGGTGTGCGGCTGGCCCTGCTGCCGTCCGACTGCCTGAAAGAGGTGGTCTCCGGTGAGGCCCTGCTCACGGCCGACGAGCGCACGCGGCTCATCGTGGACGAGGCCCTGCGCTGCAAGGCCAGGATCCTGCAGAACGATGGCGTGGTTACCAGCCTCTGCGCTCGGCCCCGCAAGGCGGGCCACACGCTGCTCATCCTGGGGGGCCAGACCTTCATGTGCGACAAGATCTACCAGGTGGACCGAAAGGCCAAGGAGATCATCCCCAAGGCAGACCTGCCCAGCCCCCGGAAGGAGTTCAGCGCCTCAGCCATCGGCTGCAAGGTCTATGTGACTGGGGGCAGGGGCTCTGAGAACGGGGTGTCCAAGGACGTCTGGGTGTATGACACTGGCCACGAGGAGTGGTCCAAGGCAGCGCCCATGCTGATTGCCCGCTTCGGCCACGGCTCGGCTGAGCTGGAGAACTGTCTCTATGTGGTGGGGGGCCACACGTCCCTGGCAGGCGTCTTCCCAGCCTCCCCGTCCATCTCTCTGAAGCAGGTGGAGAAGTACGACCCCGGGGCCAACAAGTGGACCATGGTGGCCCCCCTGAGGGATGGTGTCAGCAATGCCGCTGTGGTGAGCGCCAAGCTGAAGCTCTTCGTTTTCGGCGGCACCAGCATCCACCGAGACATGGCGTCCAAAGTCCAGTGCTACGACCCCTCCGAGAACTGGTGGACGATCATGGCCGAGTGCCCCCAGCCTTGGCGGTACACGGCCGCCGCTGCCCTGGGCAGCCAGATCTTCATCATGGGCGGTGACACGGAATTCACAGCCGCCTCGGCCTACCGCTTTGACTGCGAGACCAGCCAGTGGACGCGGATCGGGGACATGACCGCCAAGCGCATGTCCTGCCATGCCCTGGCTTCGGGCAACAAGCTCTACGTGGTGGGGGGGTACTTTGGGACTCAGAGGTGTAAGACCCTGGACTGCTACGACCCCACCTCAGACACCTGGAACTGCATCACCACCGTGCCCTACTCGCTCATCCCCACGGCCTTCGTCAGCACCTGGAAGCACCTGCCGGCCTGAGGACACCTGCAGAGCCAGCCAGGTGAGCCCCAGTGTGGCCCCACTCTGGGTGATGATTACCGGGCCTCCAAGGAAGGCCGGGTGAGCAGCAGGTGGCTGGGGCTCAAGCACAGACAGTCCTGCCTCTCCTGGGGCAGCTGTGTGCTTGCCAGCACGCGAGGGGCCCTCTGCCTCCTGTCCCTGGGTGACACGGAGAGAAGGCCTTCTTCACAGAGGTGAGCATCCAGATGAGGCCGTCTCTGTCCCTCTGAGCAGGGCAGGCAGTGGAGCCGGTGCCTGTGAGTCTGCTGCCGCTCCTTGGCACCGTGAGCGTGTGGAATCGCAGGAAAACAGGCACAGGTGACAGTGGATGGAGAGAGCCAGGTGACACAGCAGGTGCTCTTTGGGGAGAAGGGAGGGGCGGGAGGCAACAGGGACTTAGGCCAGGCCTGGCACGGCCAGAGAGTCTGACCAAGGTCACGTCTGGCTCTGCCTTCTCTAAGAGCAGGTGGGGTCTCTCCTGTAGCTGGTGAGGGCAGGACCATGGTCAAGTGCCTAGGCCAGAAGAACTGTGTGCGCCAGCCTGGCAGGGTGCTTAGGGCCGGTGCGGGTGGTGGGTTTGTGGGCACCATAGAAAGGCTTTGTGTACTAGACACAGTGCTCGTGTCTCATGTCCCAGCTCAGAGCCTTCCAGGCCCTTCCCACCAGAGATGTGCACGGAGCCCCGCGGTAAGCACAGTGTGCCCGGGCTCGGGTCGGCCCCGGCAGACGTGGGCTTCGTCCTTTTTAAGGCTTCTCTGGTTTGTTTTGCTGTGCTGTGCTCTCTTTCTCTTGGGGAGAAAAATCCAACCCTGTCACTTTCTTGGCCATCTGGGGAGTAAACTGCAAAGAGGATGCTGGCGTTTCCTCATGCATGACCTCTTTCTACTCTCGGGGCCTTGGGAGCAAGGCCTGTCACCTGCCCGGTGGAGGGCAGAGAGGGTGGCACTGCCTGGGACCCTGAGTGTAGTCCCCTCCTCAGCTGTGGGTGGGGGCAGGCTGCCCACCCCACCACCAGAGGCTGCTGCCCCATCCCTGCCAGTGGACGGGCAGCTCAGCTGGGCCTGCTGACCCACTTACGTCTTGAGGGATTTCTTTGCTTTCCGGCACCCTGGAAGGGAAGTGTGCATTGCCTCTGGGCTCTGCCTCTTCCGGTTGCTTAGCCCCAAACAGAGTGTGTGACTCAGGCCCAGCGCCCCATCTGGAAAGTAGGGGTGGAGAGTGTGTTACAGTCCTGGACCAGTAAGCAAACAAGGGGCGGGCTTTGGAGTGCATGTTTGTAAGGGGGAGGATGGTGGTGATGATGGCTTTGGGTTGCCCTGGGCTGCAGGGGCCTCTTGATGTCCCCAGCGGGTCCCCACAGTCAGATCCCTGTGTCTCGGGCCTGCCTTCAACCCCGTGCATCACAGGCTTGTGTCCCACTAGGCCTCCCCAGCCTGTGGGCACAGAGAGGCCAGTCACATGACGACCTGTGCCCGGGTCCACCTGCGAAGCCACACCAGGGCCCCGTCCTCCCAGAGCGCATGTCTGGGGGCGGTGGGTGTCTGGTACCACAGCTCCCAAGTTGCCCTGGGCTTCAGCTTGTCTTTCCTGTGGGCCCAGCAGCAACCAGAGATTGCAGCAACCAGCAGCAATCCTTGCAGCCCCCCCTTGGCCTAGAGCACCCTCCCCTGGCTTCTGACCCTGAAGGCTTTCTGCTGAGTCCAGAGCTCCTCAAAGGCAGGGAGAGCTGAGCTCTCAGCAGAAGGCCCCCAACCTGCCCCAGCCCCTCCTGCCAGGGGTTGGGGAGCTCTTGGGATGAGGGCCCTGGCGAGATGCATCAGGAGCATCTCTAGTACCTGGTGTCCCTGTGCCGAGGGCGTCCTGTTTGTCCACTGGGGTACAAACTTCAGAGCCACCAGCTGAGGACCCCATGGGCTGTAGCTGTCCACAGTCACACGATGCCCGTCCAGGTGGCACTCACTTGTTTTCCTGTCCCGGTGCCCCTTCTGCACTCCTGGTGGTGGCTGCCTTGACACCAAGCTCTCTAGTTGCCCCCTCATTCAGTCTTCCCAGGGTCCTCAGCACAGCTGCTGCTCCCACAGGACAGTGGGCGCCCCCACATCTGCGCTGTGTGGCATCTCCTACATGGAGCGGCTGCCCAGCCACGGGGTGGGGGTATAGCTGTGTAGAAACCGGATGCCAGCAGGACGGCAAGGCTATCACTCAGTCTGTGTCCCTAGAGGACAATAGCGGGCAGTGACCAGGGGATGCCTGCGCTGGTGTGTGCGTGGTCTCACTGGGTCACTCCCTGGGCTGGACTCTTCCCTTTTTCCTGGCCACTGAGTACTGCCTGGCCAGGTGTATGGGTCCCTCCGTGGAGACGCCAGGCTCCAGAGCTTTGAGGATCTCAGCATATTTAGGGGCCTTTTGACCAAGCTGCTCACCTGCATGGAGCCCTGGGAGACTGGCACCCCTCACAGCCGGCCCTGGCCCTGAGCACTTGCTGACACTCAGGGAGGCGGGACTCCTGTGGAGTGGGGCCAGCAGTGTGTGTGGGGTGCCCTGTCCCTGAGGAAGGTGTCCTCAGGCCCCCAGTGCTGGCTGCAGGTTTTTATTACAGTGTTACAGACATGGAACCTGATAAAGTCTTTGTAGTTCTACTAAACAGCAATAAGCAAAGACAGATGTGCAGGTTAAACACAGCCAAATCTCCGCACCCCAAGACCACCAGCATTGCCAGCGTTTTGCTGAGGCGGCTCTGTCTCTGCCACTGGGAAGGAGTGGCTGCTTGTACAGGGCTACCGTACCCCAAGACGAGAGCCCTCTCGAGCGCCTTGAGTGTGGGATGGAAGTGCCCCGGTGTAGGGCAGCCTAGAGCCCACAGCGCTGCCAGCACTGACCAGAGTGCATGCAGGAGTGCAGGGGCCCTCAGGACCCCAGGCCCTCTTGTCCCGAGCCTGCCCCGTCCCCTGATGGGGTCACCTGAAGGGCTGCTGCTGGCCGAGGGATGCCTTCCCGGACTCACACCTTTGGCCACATCTGTCCTTCTGAGAGGTGGGCTCGGGCCTGGAAACGGCCACAGCGCCACATCAGTTTCCTTGCTGTGTCGGATGCTCCAGGCAGCCTTTCCCAGAGCCTAGGCCCTCCTCTGGTGTCCTTTTCACGGCTTCTCCACCCTCACCTGCAGCAGGAGCCCACAGCCCTGCAGTGGGAGCCTGGTGACAATGGGGCTGCCCCTGTTCACCCCCATCCCCGCCCATCAGCATCCTGGTATTGAGATGCCGTGCAGTCAGCATCGTTGCCGGCCCAGATGGGCGTCTGGCTGCCGTCCCCGCCCAGCCTGTCGCCTGTTCAGTCTCACAGCATGGCCAGCCACGCCCTGGCCTTTTTCCACCTGTGGACCCCCCCACAAGCCCACGTGTATTTGGATTTTCAAATGTGCCACATTCTCACCTCATGGCCTTCTCGCGTGCTGTCCCCTCTGCCTGGACCGCTGTCCTCTCTCCAGCTTGCTCCCACCCACCCTTCAGGTCCCGGGAAATACTGCCTCCTTCCTACACCCTTTGCCAAAACACAGTCAGGGCCCTGGCTCTGGTCCCGCTCTGTAGGTTTCGTTTGTAGCGCTTCTCTAGAGGTGCAGTCACGCTGCAGTTATTCACGCACATCTGCAGTTTGTCCCAGGAGGACGAGGCGCGGGCCGGTGTCGGTGTCTGTGTGCTCCCGGGTGTCCCCAGGGCCCGCCAGGCTGAGGCTGTGTGGGGAGTGTGGTTGCAGCGGCTGTGAACAGGTGGGTAGTGCCCACTCGCGGGAGGAAGCCACGCTCAGGGGTGCTGTGCATGATGCTGCCGTCTCCTCCCAGGGCCGAGTCCAGGCCTGACACGCGGCCTCTTTGTCCTGCGGTTTTGTGTCGGAGCAGTGGCTGCTGGGCGCTCATTCCCTCTCCCTCTCTCCGCAGACTCTGCGTCTCTCCCACCCCTCGGCTCACACCGACCCGGAGTGCCTGGTCCTGGCTGCCTGGCGGAAGCTCGTCTGCCCCGTCACCTCTCCAGGGGCCGGAAGCCGACTGCCCCCGCTCTGCTGGTGGACGCCTCAGCTCCCGCGCTTTAGACACGAGGAACAAAGCTGTGTCCCGCACCTGTGCCTCGGGGCCTCTCCAGCTTCGTGTGTTTTGCACAGGGCGAGGAGCAGCGAGAAAGCCGTGGGCTGCCCCCCGGCTTCAGGGAGGAACGTGTGCAGAGCCCCGAGGTCGCCTGTGTCGTCAAGTCCTGAGCTGGGCCAGGGGCAGAGGAGAGGGGTCTGGGTGGGGCTAGGCCAGGTGGGTGGCGCGGTTGGGCTCTGGGCCCTGGGCCCTGGCACAGAGCCTCTGATTCGCGGGCTTCCCTGTGGGAGGCTTTAGTGTCACCGGACAGGCGGGGTCTGGGCCTCAGGGAAACAGGGTCTGCCAGGCTGAGAGCAGCTGGTCGTCAAGGAGAAAACTGAGGACAGATTTTGGGGGCCACAACAGGGTGACCTTACTGATACCACCAGATTTCATTAACAAGTGTACCCAGACCCCCAAATCCAGAGAGCAGGTCTGGACCCCAGAGGCCCATCCCATCCCACAGAGGACCCAGTTCTGTGGTGCTGCGCTAGGTGTGGGACAGATGCTTCCGCCCGAGGACCCAGGGACTGGGGCCACTCAGCAGAGGAGCTCTCAGGGCCACCCTGTCTCTTCGCCTCCTCAGAGTCCACCCTAAGGGGCAGCGGTGACCGCGTCTCCTAACAGCATCTCCCAGTCAGCAGCGGGCGCTCCATCCCGCCACTCCGCAAGACAGGGCAGGCCTGGGGTGGAGCCGTGTCTGTGGGGAGCAGCGGGCGGCGCCTGCCATCCTCCCTGCCATCTTGGTCTTCAGCTGGTAGCACTGGTTCCTGCCCAGTTTGTTCCCTGTGCTCAGAAAGTAACAACAGTCTCGAGGGCCCATGGCCACCTCCGCTGGCATCCCAGATCCCTTGTTGGGGTGTCCTCAGCATGCTGCTCACCTGCCACTGGGCACCTCACAGCTGTGGCGGGGCCCCAGCTTACCCCTTGTTCACCGCGCCTGCCGTCTGAGCGGGCTGCTGGGCCCCCTGTGGTGGATCGAGCTGCCTGCTGGCCCAGCACCAGAGTTGCAAAGTGGACCGCAGTGTTCCTAGAGGTTCGGGGCCACTGTATGAACCACTCGCTTCTTCAGCCACCTGTGTCCCCACCCCTCAGCACTGGCGCTAGCCTTGCGGGTGTCTGGAAGGGAGAGGAACCGGGCTGGGCTGGGCCTGCTGAAGGAGGGCTGCCGCTTGGGCCCTTCAGCCGCACAGCCTGCAGGAGGTGGCCCCCGCGTGGATGCTTAGTTGAGATAAGCACACTTCACATAGCACAAAGGACCTGGCTATGGTGCTTTACCCACGCTGTGTGGCTCTTACCAAGTTTTCTAACTTAATAAAAAGACTTGAGCAAATCCTCGGCTGCGTTGGTTGCTGCCTTGGTTGCTGGTGTGGGGGACCCTCTGGGAGAGGGGGCTTCCTCTTTGCCCTTGCATGTTTTAACCCTAGCAGCTTTTGTGTAACTTTGTAGAATCCCGGGCCTGCCCCCCTGCCCCGCCGCTCCTGAGCACCCCATGCAGTGAATGCCAAGTTGAAATAGGTTGCGGCAGAGGTAGGTGTATGCCTGGTGAGCCCCTGATTGGCAGAGCTGTGTGAAGGCGGTGCCTGTACCATTAGGACGGGCACCAGTGCTGCGGGCAGTAGTGTCCCTGAGCACGTGGCCTCTTGGTTGCTGGCTCAGCCCTGCTGCCTGCTCTTGCTTCTCAAACACGGCCACAGCTGGAGCACACAGCTGTGCGGCCTGGGCGGTGGGGGCCCTGACCCTGGCTCTCAAAGGGGCAGCCTGAGGAGGCAGTGCCAGCCACAGGGCTGGTGGGAGAGCCTCGCTCGCACCGAGTCCCCGGGTGTGCCCTGCTTCCACAGGGACTGCCTACGGCTGTCATCTCTGGTGCTCCTCAGTGGCCAGAGGCCCATAAACTACTGCCGGGGCTCCGGCCGTGCAGAAGTGCTTCAGGTGCCGCAGGGCACAAGGTGGTTACCTTGCTGTGAAACTGCACAGTCTTATGGGGTGGATGGGTGTCTCTCGGGCAGCAGAAGCCGGGGCTGTAAACATCCGGGACAGCAGGGAGAGGCGGTGTCCTGAGCAGGGCAGCCCTGGCTCCGCCCTCTTTGCCTTGCTATATTGCGTTCAAGACTCTGTTTCCTGGCTCAGTAAGGCCCCTTCTGCTGCTCCGCTCTTTCTGCATCCCACCAGTGGAGAGGGGAGAAGAGGGCGTGGCAGGTGGGGCCCTTTAAGGGTGTCACCCAGAATTCGCATTACTTCTGCACCCTCCCGAGGGCTGGTACTCAGGGCCACCTACGCATGGCCTCCAGGGATGCTGCAAAGTGCCCAGCTCAAACTCCAGGAGGGGGGCTGGGGATTTAGCTCAGCGGCAAAGCGCCTGCCTGGCAAGCACAAGGTCGTGAGTTCGGTTCCTGGTACCGGAGAAAAACCAAAACCAAAAAAAAAAAAACTCCAGGAGGGGTACGGGGGACAGACACCTGGCTGGGGCTGGGAGGAGCCCACTCCCTGTGACCTCCGGCAGCTGGCGAGGCTGCCGGCCCCTGAGAGCCCGGTTCTGTGCACGCGGCATCTGTTCAGCCACGGGCCAGGGCTTTGCGGCCTTATCTCTCGCAATGACCCTGGATCGGAGCGTTCTCGCCCTGCGGCTGAGGCTGCAGTGACTCTGAGAGTGGCAGTGGAAGGAGATGCCGTGATGCTGTGGCAGGAAGCGGCCACCCTGGGTGTGGGCGCTCATGGATGTGCGGACACCAGCAGCTGCTCTGATTTAAGCCCGATGGTGGCAGAGTCAGCAGGTGTGGAGAGCAGGTTCTGTGAAACATAAACAGCCCGGCCTCTGGAGAGCCCTTGCGCTGCGGGAGTGGCCAGTGGGCGGCAAGGGCGCACTGTCCACCCTGCCCCGAGGGAGGCCTGCAGCGTGGCCCTCGCCAGCCGGACTGCACCACAAGCTTCACCAGGAGGTTCACCTGGCATCAGGAGCTTCACCCCATTGGTGTGGGGCCTTTCCTGGGGACTTGGGTCCCAAGGTGGCCGGTGGTGCTATCCTGGATTGCGGGCAGGATGCGGCAACAAGGGCAGCCCATCTCGAGCCCTCTGCATCCTGTGGTCCTGCCCGAGGGCACCGCGGTACCCCAGCAAGGGAGGGTGGCAGGCGGCCTCGTGGCTGTTGCACAGCTGCATTCCAAGGGCCCTTCCTCCCCCGTGGAGGGGGCGAACCCAGATGCATCAGACCAGCCGCATGTGTCAAGCGTCCGGGCTCAGCACCGCAGCTGTGAATGCTAGTGAGAACGAAGGGACTTCTCAAGAAGCAATTGTCTTTTTTTTTTTTTTTTTTTTTTTTTGGTTTTTCTCTGGTACCGGGAACCGAACTCACGACCTTGCGCTTGCCAGGCAGGTGCTTTTGCCGCTGAGCTAAATCCCCAGCCCCTAAGAAGCAATTGTCTTTAACGAGCTCGCGCAGCGGCTTGGAAAGCGCCTTTGCTGCTTTCTTCTGAGTCAAGCGTGTGTGGGTACCTTGCCCCTGACTTCCAAGCCCCGCCTATGCCTGATCTTGTCCGGCCCCGCCCCCGCCTCACGCCCTGGCCCCGCCCAGGCGCGTTGCTCTCCTGAATGCTCCCGGCACACGGAAGGTGGGCGTGGAGCGGCTGGGGGCTGTTCGGGGTGAGTCTCCGGGCATGTGCCCTCTGTGAAAACTCATCTTATGAAGCCGCACGCTGAACGCTTACTGCGTGGTGCCTGCGGTGGGGGAGAGAGAGGCCCGGTAACCTCGAACTCCGATTTGCAGCCTCCAGGTGGGTGAGAGGATCCGTTTGTGTTCTTTAACGCACTCGGTTTCTGGCACTTCGTTAAGGTGGCGCTAGCAGATCTCTCCATAGGGTCGTCTTGCCCGACCCCGCGCTGAGTTCTGGGCCTGCAGACATCTGGCCAGGGTGATGCTCGGTGGTACAGGCTGTGCCTAGCAGGTGCAGGCTCTGGGTTCAATCCGCAGCACCAAAAAGTCAGGGAACCCGCTGAGGAGAACGCAGGGTCCCCAGCTGGCCGAGGGCTGGGGAACAGCCATGGGCAGGAAGCCGTGTCCTCCAACTGGCAGGAGGGCTCAGGGCGGTCGAGGGCAGGGCGGGGGACAGAAGCAGCCAGGGCTGCAGGCGGGGGTGCGGGCCAAGCCCACCAGGGTGCAGGTGCAGCGGCCTTGGCTGGAGGGCCCAGGGTCCTGAGCCCCAGGCCTGCAAGGAGGAATAGGGCCGGGTTAGAGACCCACCTCATGCAGTGGGCCGGCCCCCTGCTCCCCTGCTGTGTGCTTAAGTGGGGTCCTGTGCCCGGGAGCCAGCCCCTCGCTTCCTTCAGGCCTGGGAGAGTCCTGGGATCACAAGAGTCGCCCCCACAGGGCTCCCCCAGGCTGTGGACACCTGGGGGCCCTCCCGGCTGGCTGCAGAGCGCTGCTCCTGGGGGCACAGTGCTTGCCGAGCCTGTCGGGAGACCTGAGTATCCTGTGCTTGCTGGTCATGGCCACCACAGAGGCTGCTGGCCCATTTCCCACACCTGGAAGCTGAGGCTCAACAGGGACGCTTGGGGCAACCAGAGCCCTGAGGGGAGAGCCCGCAGGTGGGTTCGGTGCGTGCGCATCCGTGGTGTTCATTCCGTATTCGCTCACCCGGCGGTGCACTTCTGCTGTCCCGTGCGGACAGCGTGACCACCCAGCAGCCCCGCTCTGCGGCACAGCCTCCCTGTGTGTCCGGGGACAATGCACTTAGGCTCTCTGGGTCTTGGCTGCCCCATCTGTGAAAGAGGGTGAGCGGCCATTTAAGTAGATCTTATGAGAATTGAGTGAGGTGTGGACATACTCGAATCTTAGGACACAAGGTCCTGTGAACAGGGCCTGGTGCTCTGGCAGTGGTCAGTAGTCAGGAGTTGTTGTGTGGTTGTTTGACGAAGCGCAGTGACTTTCACAGTGGCCCCAAGCCTGGTCTCCCCCCACCCCCGCCCCATGTGGTCAACTGGAGTCCTCCTCTTTTGTATGTTGGTGCTTTAACTTGCATGACTGTGCTCATCCTTTTTCTTCTCCCCGCCACCCCGTATCAGGAATCGAACTCAGGACCTCAGGCTTGCCAGCCCCTGTGCCCATCCTTGAATGAGCTGCTTTTTCCTTCTTTGCTTTGAGCTATCTCGGAGCTCACTGTGGGCTGTGAGGTCAAAGTGCACTCTGGTGTACTGGAAGAGACTGCTGTGAGATCCAAGGGCAGGGCCTTTAGTGGACAAGACCAGCTTTGCAGTCAAGCAGATCTGGATGTGAATCACTGGTCTCTGGCTGCCCGGCCTAGCAGGAAGTCCTCTTTCTGAGACTGTTTCTTTTTTATTTTCTTTTTTTTTTTAATAGAAAAAAATCAAGAGGGGCTGGGGATTTAGCTCAGCGGCACAGCGCCTGCCTGGCAAGCGCGAGGTTGTGAGTTTGATTCCCAGTACTGGAAAACAAACAAAAAAAAGAAACAAAAAAAAAGAAAAAAATCAAGAAATGACAATAAAACTTTCAAAACAGGCTAGTAGGAGAGTAACAATAAGCAGCACAATGCACATTGTTATATTCACAGTAGTTGTTCAGAGTACAAGATATAGGCGTGACACATTGTCCAGAACATTATTAGCACAAAACTTCCCCTCAGTCTCAAGAGAGACCAGCTGCATAACTGTCTTAACTGTCTTGTGTCTGTATGTATTTTTTCCTGTACTCTTCCTTCCTTCCTCCTTTTTCACATTGCAGTTTCTCTTTTCTTTTGACCAGTTTCTTCCCTATTCACAATATCTATTGTACCTTTTGGATCTTGTTTACTCTTCCAGAGTCTCACACTAGTTAGACGATACGATGTGTTCATATGTAAGTCTGGGTTATACAGTTTATCTTTCTTTATGCCTGAGTAATACTCCATTATATAAAAAAAAGCTCACATCTTTTTATCTGTTCCTCAGTTGATGGGCATTTTGGTTGTTTCCAAAAATATCTATTACAAATTGTGCTGCTATAAACATGGGTGAACATATATTGCTGTGGTGTGATGTTTTTAATTCTTCTAGGAAGATACCCAGCAGGGGAAACTAATCCTACTTTTTTCAGGAATCTCCACACTGATTTCCACAGTGTTTGCATCATTTTATACTCCCACCAACAGTGGAGAAGAGTTCCTTTTTCCCCACAGCCCCGCCAACATTTGTAACTGGAAATCAATGACAAAAGGAATCAAAAAAACTGCACAAACATGTGGAAATTAAACAACACGCTTCTGAACAGCCAATGGGCCATGGAGAAAATTAAACACAAAATTACACAGTATACACAATTAAACGATAATGCTGACCCAACAAACTGAAACTTATGGGATGTAATAAAAGCAGTTCCAAGAGGGAAATTTATTGCAATAAACTCTCACATCAGGAAAACAGAATGAGCTCAGATAAACAACCTATATCGAACCTTAAACCTCTAGAAAAAGAAGAAAAGAAAAAAAAAAAAGAAAAGAAGACCAAATCAAACCCAAAGCTCATACGAGGGAGGAAATTACAAAGGTAAGAGCAGAAATTAATGCAGTTGAGACTAAAAAACCATCAAAGAATCAATGAATTGAAAAGTTGGTTCTTTGAAAGAATTAATAAAATTGATAAGCCATTAGCCTCATCAAAAATAGGAAAGAAAAAAAAAAACAAATTCAAGCAATTAATGAAAAGGGGGAAATCACAACAGATCCTACAGAAATTCAGAAGTTCACCAATATCTACTATGAGAACCTGTATTCTAATAAGATGGAAAACAGAAGAAATGGACAGATTCCTGATCACAGTCTAATTGGCAAAATTAAATTCTAAGCCCAGTATCAGCCAATGAATCAGAGTCTGTCAAAGAAGTCAAGTTCCTGCCTGGAGAGGTGATTGAGGGACTTGGATAAGAAGATACACACTTCTTGCCATGAGAAGCAGTGTAAGTCTGGCGTGGGTCTGGGAGTAAAGACTTGGTGTGAGCTGCGTCACTCCTTAATCACCTCAGCCCCAAGCTCTGGTGCGACATCAGGTCCTTAGGGTGCTGAGCTTGGCCCTGGAGCAAGCAGGGAGTCTTGACCTCACTTGGAACCATCCCAGTGCCTGTGCCCCTTGTCCAGCCCAGGCCCTTGATGTGCCTGAGAGCCAACCCGCTGAGGCCAGGAGCTGCCTTCAGTGGGAAGCAGAGTGGGTCAGTAGCTGCCACGAACTGGTGTGGCTCTCAGTGGTCCCGGAGAAAAATGGCAAGGGGATTTAGAAAATAAAGACAAGAGACAAAAGCTGAGGTCAGGTGGAGGCCTTTTTCTGGATGGGAAAAGAGGACTGGACAATCACCATAGGGGCATTTATTTATACACTGGGGCGGTTGATGTCAGTTTCAACCTCTCTGCCTGGCAACCAGCTTGCAAGCTGAAACAGCTTGTTTGCATGGCTGGAGGAGCTCCCGGTGTTCCCAGGCTGGCTTTGTCTTAACCCCGCATGTGTGACTGATTTCCAGCTTCAGCTGCTCCCAACAGGCAGCCGGTCCCCAGAGCAGGGTCTGTTTTCCCAGCAGCGCCCTCATGGCCTACTCCCCTCTCAGAGGCCCTCCTAATGCCATCGCCTGGGGCACAGACCTATGGATTTGGGGACCAGGCCCCACACTGCTGTGTGCTGGGTCCTACATGGTCACGAAGTTACACATTTGCACTCACGGTGACGCTTTAAGGTCAGGGTTGAAGTCACCCTGTTAAAGAGGAGCCGCAGCTGGAGCAGGGTCACAGGTCCTGAGCCTCAGGGAGCCCTGCTCCGGGGCTGTGTGGCTGGCAGCAGCAGAGAGGGCAAGGGCCCCCTAGAGGTGCTCACTGCCTGAGTCACTGGCTTGTGCCGGGTCGCGCTGCGTGACTTTGCATCCTTTCTTCAGCAGAGGGAGAGCTTCCAGACGACCCCGGGCGGTGTGATCAATTAAGTATTCTAATACACAGTGCACCAACAGGCTCTGTGTAGTTGGCTGTCCTTTCCCCGGGGGCGCAGCAAGCCAGACCTTCCTCCCGGTGACAGGACCTGTGATCTCATCACATCTTGAAGGTCCCCGCAGCGCCAAGCTCCACTGTGCAGGCCCTGGGGCAGCTATTCCTGGCCTCAGGGGGACCAAAACGGGAGAGAGGACTTCCTGTCAGTCCCGCCTTACGGTGGGGCGCTATGGGGCCAGGGCTGCGGAAGAACAGGATGACATTCCCAGCCGGGTGGTAGCACCAAGGACAGCAGGGCTCTGGGAGCTAAAGCCATGTTGCCCTCGGAGCCAGGTGCTTCAGATGGAGCTCGATTAAGCACGGTCCTGGCTTCAGAGGCGACCTGGCCTCCTGTCTGCCTGGCAGCGTGGCTCGAGTCTGCGGCTCTGCCGGAGACGGGGAGGGAGGGAGACCAGCGCGGCCTCCACTCTTCAGTGAGGTTTTAAAATGAGAATTGAAGTGGCACCAAAAAGTCCGTGGCAGTGGAGTGCGGCTGTGACTTCGCCGGAGCACGGGGCTCCAGGTGTGGCTGGCTTCGTCATTCCCAGTGACTGGCGGGCCCGCAGTGTCCCTGCCACATCCATCCCTTCTCTGCCGGGGGCTGAGCCCTGCTGGGGTCAGGCGAGACCTCGAGACTCTGTGTGCTGTGCCCGGCTGGGCCTGGGACACTTTCTTCAGTCCATGCGGGGCAGCAGGACGGGGCCAGCTAGGTTCAGACACAGCTGTCCTCGGAGGAGCCCTTCCCCCTCTACTTCGAGTCCTCATTTGTTTAAAAATACTAATATTGCAACAGTAGGGACTGAACTGAACAGGGTAAAGAGTTATGAGGTTTCCATTAACGAAGTTCATTTCCTTTGCCCCTTGAGGTCCCAGCTGAGGAAGAGTGTGTGTGTGTGTGTGTGTGTGTGTGTGTGTGTGTGTGTAAAATATCAACCAGGAGGAGAAAGCAAGCCAGCTTCTCTGAGGAGTCAAAGGAGTCTCCATTAGAAACACTTGTTTTCCTCTTAGCCTTAGGGGCCCGGAAGCCCAGAGCCAGGCGTGAGGCTCCTGGGCGGCAGTGTCTTGCTGCCTGTTGGCACGAGTGCATGCTTTTTATTCTGTGGCCTGTTTTCAACTTTCCGAGCCACCCTGTGGGAAAGGTTGCTACAGTCACAGGATTCAGAGGAACTCAGCTCCTGCTGGGAAGTGGGTTCCTGAATCTGAGACAGCTGCGTTCTGAAAGAGTGGTTTCCTGCGCTGTTGGCAGAGACGGCGGCCTTAGGTCCAAGCCTCAGTCTAGCGGCTGAATGAAGGGTCTTCTGGCGCGCATGTCACATGCCAAGGGGAGGGTGGCCCGGCCATTGCGCCCAGGCCCCTCCCCAGGGTACCTAGAAAGTCACTGGCATGGGCTGGGTTTGTCCAGTTTTGTCTGAGCAGGACCCAGGGTGAGGAGGTATTTTTTTTCCTCTCTTCCCTGATAACAGTCAGGGCTCCAAAGCCTTCTGGAGAGGGAGAACGTGCAGGGAGACTTCAGGGAGCTGCCTGGCAAGTGAGGGGTTCTCTCTGGAGACCGCTTAAGGGGCCTAAAGGACTCCCTTGACATGCCCCTTCCCCGAACTGTGACAGCGGCTGCTCTTCCGTTCCCAGCACCCTCCCCCATTGTCCTTTACTTTCACGGCAGACTCGGAACTCCTGTCCCGAGGCTTGCTGCGCTGTCCAGAGGGTGCAGCCTTCAAGGGTAACACAGGGCATGTGAAGAGGGCCAGTTGACAGGAAGGCGTGAAGTCACTGAAGAGGGCAGTGCCTTTTGGAACCCAGCTGATAAGTGCATGGCAAGGTTTCACATCTCTGTATGTCCGTTTATCTGTCTGTCCATCCACCCACCCACCTACCTATGCATCTATCTATCCATCCATCCACCCAGCCACATGTTCACCCCCCTACCCATCTAGTCATCCATCTATCCTTCCTTCCTTCCTTCCTTCCTTCCTTCCTTCCTTCCTTCCTTCCTTCCTTCCTTCCATCTACTCACCCACCCATCTATCCATCTGTCCAGCCAGACAGGCACATATGCACCCATCTACCCATCTATCCATTTATCCATCCATCTGCCCTCCCTCCCACTCACCCACATATCCACCCACCTACCCACCTATTCATCCATCCATCCACCCACCTACCCACTCACCTACTCTTCTACTTATCCATCTGTCCATTTATCCACCCACCCTCCCACCTACCCACATATCCACTCATCCATCCATCTGTCCACCCATCCATCCATTCATCCATCCATCCATCCATCCATTCATCCAACTTACCTTTCCACCTCCCTCACTATCCAATTCTTAGCTTGAATTCTGATTCAGAAATGAGATAGTTGTCCTTTTCCCCATGGAAACTGAATTCAGAC